AGGAGCAACCTGGCCAACATGGTAAAACCCCATCTCTACTAAAAATACAAAAATTAGCCAGGCATGGTGGCAGGTGCCTGTAATCCTAGCTACTCAGGAGGCTGAGGCAGGAGAATTGCTTGAACCCAGGAGGCAGAGGCTGCAGTGAGCTGAGATCACGCTACTGAACTCCAACCTGGGTGACAGAGCAAGACTCTGTCCCAATTGAAAAAAAAAAAAAAAAAGGAAATTCCCAACTACAGGAAGGAATGAAATGTAAATGTGCTCTCTGAGAAAACAGGGAGGCTGGTGGGACCGAAGGAATGGCTACTTCCCCAATCACCACTTTCTAGAAAAAGCAAAGGCAACGTAATCTAAGATCTGTCCGTCTTGGAGGTTTCTGCATAGGACAAACCCACTACGGTCTCAGGAGCCCCAGCCAGGGAACCCTGGGAGCCTACGGCAGCACAGTAAACAGGCCCGAGAAGGAAGCAGAAGGCCCATGGCTCCTGCTTTCCCTTTCACCCTCATGCATCAAAGCGGGTGTTCATGGGTCAGCAGGGGCTCAGAAAGGGAAGTTTGGCAAAACCATTCCCTCCCATCTCCCCTCTCCTCCCCACAGCCTAGACCAGATCCTAACCAGATACAGCTGCCAGTGCAGGGGCGCTAGCTGTTACCTAGAAATGTGGGGCAGGAGAGGAGGCTAAGCCCACTGGAGAAGTACCCCTGGCAAACGGGAGCCAAAAATCAGCACGGGCTGATTTCAGATCTACACCTAAGTAAGAAAAAAGGGTGTGTCTTTCACCACTCATCCTAGGTTATTCATTTGCAAATAACTGGCAATTCATAGAACAAGTGATTATAGTTTCCACTTAGCACTTCTGACTTCAATCTTTCTTCTACTCCAAAGGTGATTTCCATTTCCAGTCTTCACATTTTATCCAGATCCCCATGACAAAAGTTGCTGCTTGATTTTAAAACTCCAGTATTTTCCGTTTTCGGTTATCCTCATTTCGCAATTAAAAGTTTGCTAGCCACACAGCTTTTAAATTTTAAAAGTACACAGTCATGTGTTTGGGAGCAATTTATATCGTTTCCTCTGCTCAACATAGCCTTCAGAAAGCACAGAGAGAAAGTGGCTACAGGAAGATAACTTTGCCCTAGAAGGAGGCAGTGCTAGACGGGAGCTCACAGCTCCTGGGCACTCTCAATGCCCGAAGTGCCCAGGGGCTATGAGCCCTCCTCTAGCACTGCATCAGTATGACAAATCAAGCCCGGAGTACTGGGCAAGCCCCAATCCGAGGGCTCATCCACCAAACTGCTTAGTCCAAGCTATGCCCCAAACTCCCACCAGCCCAGAACCCAGTTGACTTTACCCTCTCCCCAAAGCCTCCTTACCCCTGCACTGGACATAGGGGAAGCTTTTGGGGGCTCACCTAAGTCTGGCAGGAGTGGAAAGCAAAAGCCCCACTCCAGCACCTGGGTACCTTCCATCCACGCAGACCCGGGGTGGTGCATTGGGATACCGCCCCCCACAGGCTCTGTTTCCTAACGTCCTCATCTAGGGCTTGCACCCCTGTTGTGGTACCTCAAGGGTGAGGCCCAGGCTAACAGCTTTGTTACAGGAGGCCACTTGTTGAGACAGTGCAAATGTGTACACAGTGCCTAATCCAGACATGAAACACAGGGCTTACAGAAGAAAACTACCATATACTCACGGGCACTGCTGAGGGCAGAAACTGCAATTTCTTTTGTGGCAGAACTTTTCAATGAGCATGATGTGGAAGCCAAACCCCTCATATTTCTATAACAGTTTCATTAATATTTGAATAGAATTCGCATGACATAAAATTCATCCCTTTAAAGTATGCCATTCAGTGATTTTTTGTGTGTATTCAGAAAGTCGTGCAAGCACAACCACTATCTAATTTTAAAACATTTTCATCATTCCTGACCCCAGCCCTTGGCAACCACTAATCTATTAATACTTTCTGTCTCTATAGATCTGCCTGTTCTGGACATTCCATATAAATATAATCACATGATTTTGTGACTGGCTGTTTCCACTTAGCATAATGTTTTCAAAGTTTATCCACGTAGGACCATATATCAGTACCTCTTTCCTTTGTATGGCCAAATAATATTCCATTGTGTGTATATATCACCTTAAATATCTCTGTCAGCTGATGGATAGTAGGATTGGTTCCATTTTTTGGCTATTATAAATAATGCTGCCATGAATATCCATGTACAAATTTTTGTATGGATATATGTTTTCAATTATCCTAGGCATATGTCTGGAAGTTGAAATGCTGAGTCAAATGGTAGCCCAATGTTTAATTTTGAAAAACTGCTAAACGGTTTTTCCAAAATGGCTATACCATTTTACATTCCCAGTAGCAATGTATGAGGGTGCTAATTTCTCCATATCTTCTTCACCAAAACTTTCTACTATTCACCATTTTTTTTGCGGGGGGGGACGGAGTTTCGCTCTTGTTACCCAGGCTGGAGTGCAATGGCACAATCTCGGCTCACCACAACCTCCGCCTCCTGGGTTCAGGCAATTCTCCTGCCTCAGCCTCCTGAGTAGCTGGGATTACAGGCACACGCCACCATGCCCAGCTAATTTTTTGTATTTTTAGTAGAGACGGGGTTTCACCGTGTTGACCAGGATGGTCTCGATCTCTTGACTCGTGATCCACCCGCCTCGGCCTCCCAAAGTGCTGGGATTACAGGCTTGAGCCACCGCGCCCGGCCCCTATTCATCATTTTTTATCACGGCCTAGTGAACATGAAATGGTACCTTTCCTTTAGCACCACATCAATAGGGCTCCAGTAAAATAACGGTGGATTACAGGTGAAAGGGCAGCAAGACTCAGACTCTGTTTAAGAAGAGTTCTTAAGAAAATACAAAGACAAAAAACTAAAGGAAAAACTAGAGGATACTAGAGGAAACTGAAGCCTCTGGGACCTAGACTCACAGCAAACATGCCTTAGTATGTGTTGCTGTTACAAAATACCACAGACTGGGTCATTTATAAACAATAGAAATTTATTTCTCACAGTTTTACAGGCTGGGAAGTCCAAAATCTAGGCATAGGCATTCATGAGAGCTTTTTTTTTTTAATACAGAGAGTCTTACTCTGTCACCCAGGCTGGAGTGCAGTGGCATGTTCATAGCTCACTTCAGCCTCAACATCCAGTGCTCAAGAGATCCTCCCATCTCAGCTTCCCAAGTAGCAGGGACTACAAGCACATATCACTATGCCTGGCTAAATTTTTATTTAATGCTGGTAGAGATGAGGTCTCACTGTATTGACCAGGCTGATCTCAAACTCCTGAGCTCAAGTGATCTTCCTGCCATGGCCTTCCAAGGTGCTGGGATTACAGGCATGCACCACCACGCCCAACAGAGGACCTTCTTGCTGAGTCTTCACATGGCAGGAGGGGCTCATGCTAAATATTCACATGGTGGAAGGCACAAGGACAAAAAAAGAGCCTAAGCTACTTTCCTCCTGTCCTTTTAAAAGGCATGAATCCACTCATGAATGTGGAACCTTCATGTCTTTATCACTTCCCAAAGACCCCACCTGCTAATACCATGACAATAATAATGAAATAATTCAACACATGAATTTTAAGGAACACTCAGACCACACCAAAACACTAACAGCCCAACTCTGAGAAAGAGTAACATAAACTCTCACACTAAAAACATATTTCCCTCGCTTTCCATTGCCAGATACATAATGTCCAGCTTTCAATTAAAAATTACAAGGCACACTGGGAGACAAGAAAAATTACAGTCTGAAGAAACAATGAAAGTATCAGACCCAGGCTCAGACATAATAGAGACTCTGGAATTATCAGATAGGGAATATAGTTGAACTGAAGAGCATCATCAATCAAATTGATCTAATTGACATTTAAAGAATACTTCATCCTACAATAGCAGATACAAATTCAATTTAGCTCACATGCAACATATTTCTCCTTCGTTTTTGAGTTTTGCTGGATGTGGCAATGTTTAACAGTCTTTTATTTCAGCATCTCGAATATGTCCCCCATAGCCTTCTGGCTTGCATGGCTTCTGATGAGAAATCTGCTGTTAATCCTATTGGGGATCCCTTGTCTGATTTGCTGTCACTGTTTTCAAGACTCTGTGTCTTTGGCTTTTGACAGTTTGGCTATGATATGCCTTGGTGTTGAACTTTTTATTTTATACAGCTTATAGTTCATTCATTGGATGTGCAAAGTAATGTTTTTCATCAAATTTGAGACATTTTCAAGCATTTTTTTAATTCAAATATTTTTTTCCTCTGCTGTCTTCTGGCACTCCTATTAGGTATACATTGGCACATTTGAGGATGTCTCACAGGTATCTGAAGATCTATTCATTTTTCTTCATTCCTTTTCCTTTCTCTTTCTCATACTGAATCATCTCAATCGGCCATCTTCATGTATGTTGATTCTTCTTCAGTCAGTTCAAATCTACTGTTCAGCCCCTCTAGTGAATTTTTCATTTCAGTTCCTACACTTTCAATTCCAGAACTTCTATTTGGTTCTTTTTAAATAATTTTTATTGATATTTTGTATTTGGTAAGATATTGTTCTCAAACTTTAATTATTTAGATATGGTTTATTTTAGCTTTTTGGTCGGGGGGGTTTGCTCTTGTTTTTTGGAAATGGACTTTCATTCTTGTGACCCAGACTGCAGTACAGTGGCATGATCTTGGCTCACTGCAACCTCCGCCTCCCAGGTTCAAGTGATTCTCCTGCCTCAGCCTTCTGAGTAGCCGGGATTACAGGAACGTACCACGACACCTGAATAATTTTTGTATTATTAGTAGACATGGGGTTTTGCCATATTGGCCAGGCCTCAGGTGATCCACCTGCTTCAACCTCCCAAAGTGCTAGGATTATAGGCATGAGCCACCATGCCCAGCCTCTTTTAGTTTTTTGAACATAGTTATAATAACAACTACTGTTATGCTCTTTTTCTAGTAGATCAAACATATTAAGTGTCTTATAATTGTTTTCATTGAAAACCAGACATTAAATAATTTTAACACACCAACTCTGGAACTCATTATCTCCTATCCCCTCTTTCCAGGTACATTGTTGTTGCTGTTTGTTTAGTGATTTTCCAGTACTAAGTCTCTAAGGTCTGTATTCTTTGTTGCATGTATGATCACTGAAGGATCTGCTCAGTTAGCTTAGTGGCTGGCTAATGACTAAACAGAGATTTCCTTAAATTCCTTAAGTTTCCCAGCCTTCGCAGAGGAGCTGTGTGAGTTTTGGGGCATGTCTTTGATGTTATGCAGGCAATTTATGACCCTTCCTTAGCTTTCACATTCTGCTTGCACAGAGCCTCAAGAGCAGCCAGAGGTGAGAGATTAGGACCTCCTCAGGTCTCTCCTGGGCATGTGCACAGCCCTTCTCATGCATGTGGCTTTCTAGGAATACGTTAGAGCTTTTAAAAATCCCCTATGGGATTTTCCTTTTAAGTTTTTTGGGCAGCCCCTTGTAGTTTCAATTAATATTGCAATTTCCAGCAACTATGATGTTAAACAGCTATCACTGATTGTTTTCAACAAACACCCTAAGAATACGGCTATTCACACAGAGCAAGCTCTGAGTCAGGTCAAATGAAGACAAGCTTGGAAATGGAACTTTTAGGGAGCTATTAGTTATATCAAATAGTGATGATTCTTTGAGGATGGAGCTTTGGAGGAACTCTGAACCCATTCTGTCCCCTCCAGTAACCATTAGGCAAATGGTTTTCACAGCTACTGTAGTTCAAGGCTCCTAACTTTCAAGGCTACTGTGAAGCTGGGAAAAGGGGGATGAAAAACAGAACAAATTAAAATGCCACAAAGCCCACTATTTCCATCAAAATTCACCCTGTTTTCTTAAATAAACACTTCCAGGATGCAAGCCTTTAATTAATTTCCAGAGCTGTGGAAAAGTTGATTTTGACCATTTTTTCCAGTGTTCTTATTGCTGTTATGGAAGAACAGGATTTTGGAGGCCCCCATCCCACCATTTCAGAATTGCTTCACTCCAACCCCCTATCTTACTGCTAAAGAAACTGAGGAACATGACTTGTCCAAGTTTATGAAGTTAGCAGAAAAATATGAAAGAATAAAACCCAGCCCAGCAAATGATCTTTCTGCACACTGTCCAGCCTCTGGCATTTCTATCCTCAGTTCCTGAGGCTGCAAAGAATTCCACGTCAGAGTTACTCAAGAGGACAGAATTTACTTCAAGAAGCCTACAAAAGCAAGTAATTGTCCTATTCTGTCTCCATGTATGCTGTTAACAGTCAATAACAGCTAATGTATCAGCCCCAGGCCTTGGACTTGGAAGGCTTATTGTCAGGTAGAAGAGTAAAGACAGACAGATTTTTAGTGAAAGTTTACCAAGTGTAAAGTACCAGGAAGAAGTTGAAATTAAGTGTGAACTTCAGAGGGGAAAATTGCCTTCCCAGCTGGCTCATGTGTAGAGAGAGCTGTGGGTGAAGTCTCATGCACCAGCTCACTCAGCAACATTTCAACCATGCTAGATGCTCCAACCCCAGCTGGAGCCACACTGCAACTAAAACAAGTCAAGGACGGTGTCACTCCCTTCATCTCACTTCATGACTAACACAGGCTCTAAGCAGGGGCTCACCTCAACATTCCCTTCTTGAGAAAAGCCCCAGATTCAGAGGCTAATTAGAGGTGACCCACTACTCACCAGCTCCAAAGGCAAAGAAGAAGCCTTTGTCAGGGAACTCCTCCAAAAGGGCCTTCACCCGCTTCCCTATTCTCTCATTCCGCTTGTAGATCAGCTCCTGGCGTAAGTAGCTGTCAATCTCCTGAGCAGTGATGCGCTCCTGAGGTGGTAGTGTGGCATTAATAAAATTGGGAACCTCCACGAAAATAAAGAGAAATAAAATAAAATAAGGGGCAACAAAGTTATTAACAAAGTTACTTCACTGGAGCATCAAATCCCCCAACCTAGATGGTCAAGATGTTGATGAGAGAAGAATGACACCATTCTTGGAGTTTCCTGTCTGCTACATTTCCAACTATATCACATTCTCTGTAACCAAAGTGAACAAATATTAAATGAAGTACACTGAATGAACTCTGATGCTATTTAAAACTGTACTTCTGTTTTACTTAAATGGTTCTGTCTGATGTTTAGAAAAGGACACCATCGGGCCAGGAGCAGTGGCTCACTCCTGTAATCCCAGCATTTTGGGAGGCCGAGGTAGGCGGATCTCAAGGTCAGGAAATTAAGATCATCCTGGCTAACACGGTGAAAACCCATTTCTACTAAAAATACAAAAAATTAGCCAGGTGTGGTGGCATGCGCCTGTAGTCCCAGCTACTCCGGAGGCTGAGGCAGAAGAATCGCTTGAACCCAGGAGGCAGAGGTTGCAGTGAGCCACTGCACTCCAGCCTGGGCAACAGAGTGAGATTCTATCTCAAAAAAAAAAAAAAAAAAAAAAAAAAGGACACCATCTTTTCATCACACATCCATAATTTTAATTTGTGTGATTCACACATGGTTTTCTTATAAAAACAGTTTTATATAGTTACATATTTTAGATTTTATTACCAAAAACATGAAATTTCTATAATACTTAAATGTTTTATAAATCCTATACTTTACATTTTCATTATTTCTCCACTTCTATTTCTCTCCCTTGCTTTCCCCAGTGTTCTTTGCCGTCCTGGCAAATACTTCACTTGATTCTGGTACACATGTTAGCCAGTTTCAGTATTTTGGCTAATGACAGCATGCAAATGCATCAAAATTGTGACAATCAGGTGGTTCCTGCAGTCCAGGGCTACAGGTAAGGCTGCACTCTGTTTTTTCCCCACTCCCTCAGCTGTCTGGCTTCCCAAACCTCAGCCTCCCACCCCTCCCCCAGGTGCATGCTCTCCCTTCCATGCAGGGACTTGACAATGTTACCCACCACCTTGGTCAGTAGCTACCCTGCCTGCTGCTGCTGCTGCTGCTGCTTCCAGCAGCCTCTCAAAAAACCTTTCCAAAGTCCTCAGATTCTATTACATAATATTAACCTCCATCTTATGGATAACAGATCTCCTTCCACGATTGCCTTGAAATGATATTCTTTCATTTTCAAATCAACCAGCCTTCACCTTCTACTCTGTCAACTTTTTCAAAAAATCATGTCATTTATGTAAGATCCTCCTGCCCGTTTCCCAAAATCTCTTCTCTTCAGCAGAGCCCCCCTCTCCACGGAGGCAATGTCACACAGGGTGACCTTCCTCTGACATCCTGCTCTACCTTCTAAATTCCAAATATTACCCAAAGCCTGCACCACTCCCTGCTGGCCCGCCTGGTCCTCACTCACAGTGGCAGCACATTCTCTGACACCCCACACCTCCTGTAGGAGCCCTGCGGGCAGGTCAGGTAGGAGAGCCACAGGAGAGAAATGCAAGAGACATTCATATCATCTGCTCCATCAGCCTCACCATTTGCCCATGTAACTACCAAATCCGCTGCCCACATTAACTTTTTTCTGCTGCTTCAAATGTCAATTTCCCAATTGATCTTGACTTTTCTCCCCCTTTCCCTACGCCCAGCAAGAGTGCAGGTAAGAATTATCACCACCGACAACTCTATTTTTCCTTCTTTAATGTGTTTCTTGTTCTCCCTTTCCTCCTGCTTCACTTTGTCTTGATTTGACTTCCTCTTCCTCTAGATTTTTGGGGATGCTCATTACGCCTTTTGATGCTTCTGTCATTAATGAAATGTCACCTTCCTGTGCTGATGCTGCACCACTCAGCCTGTACTGTCCTTCTTCCCAGTGCTGCTATTCCTTCTTCAGCTCTCATGTGCATACATGTCTCCTTATGGCTGGGTCCCCAGATCTAACATACACCTGGACAGCATCACCCACACCCACTAGCTCCTGTCTCCCCTCACCAGTGTCCTCATGCATGCAGACGCCGGTCCTGGCTGGGGGAAACAACACACTCCCCTACCGCAGAAGTTTAGCTAGTGTTTGCCATTTGGATGCAGTCTTAGAGAGCAGGGGAAGGCACCATGGCTTGTCCTATGAGAAGCCTCTTGATAAAAGCACAACAAAGATCCATCCCACTTCCCTCCTAGAAGGAGACTATAATCTTCTGAGGCCTGACCAGCTGCTTCCTTCCCCTCGATGGCCCATAGGTAAGGCCTGAGTTGGGCAAACACTCACTCCACCAGCTCAGCCACACTCATCCTGCAATACCACAGGATGCAATAATCCACGTCTGCAAATGCTAGCAGCCTTCCCAGCTCCAACACCCCAACCCTGTAGGTATTCCATGAATACATAGTTATATTATGCTCACACATTCCTAGAGGCCACTGAAACTGCAGCCAAAGTTCTGCGCCATCATTTTGCAAGTGTGACCTGTGTCAGCCAGGAGGCCATCAGACTCAGAACCCTTCCCTTCCCCAAAGCTAGTTCATGTGGCCCACTGCTAAATCCTTCAAAGCTTCATCCTTTGGCTGAGATCCTAGAATTAACCCTCATCAATGCCCCCTCTGTTCTTACAAGGTTTGTAAAGCCTTCATTAGCTGCAGTGTCTCATTTAATGACATCTAAATCTGCCCATTTTATTTTTAGAGCCCTCATGACCTCCATCCTTTGTACACAGGATGTACAGGTACTGCTAGGTAAGTTTTTATTCTTATAGTTAAATGCATGCTGAGCTTGGCAGACGGAAAGGGCACTCACCTGGGAGCTGTCATGGCTGAGGATGACGGAGCTGAGGTCCCCGCAGTTATAGTGTTTGATGAGATCCTCCGTCGTGTAGGGGATCTGAAGACTGCCCGCTCGCAGGCTTTCCTGCTGCAGGAGGGTCTGGTTCAAAGCAAAGATGACCTGAAAGAAAGGACTTCTTTAAGTTCACTAACAAGGCAACTGTTTGCTGCCATCTTATTTCTTTTGTCCATAGCTTGCACTACCCTCACCTCTGTGCTCATTATGTAAGGATGTGGGTACTGCTACTAAAAGAAGGGAACACAAATCCCCGAACAATGTCCAAAGAAAAGGACGGGCCTTCCCAAATCAGCCCCAATCAGACACACTTGGAGAACTGCCTTATGAAGGACACGACAACCTGGAACTCTTCCATTGGCATGACCAAGAGGTGAGGGAACCCAAGAGCTGGCTTCTGAGGAATGACTGAAGAAGCCAGGAGGTGGGGCAGGGAGAGGGCTGGGGACTCACAGACACGCCTACCAGTGGATTCCAATTACATAAAGGACTGGGCAGGAACTTTGGGAAACCCAGCATACTCTGTTCCCACATGTTGTAAGAGGGACCTGGTGGGAGGTGATGGAATCATGGGGGTGGGTCTTTCCCATGCTTTTCTCATGATAGTGAATAAGTCTCCTGAGATTTGATGGTTTTACATCAGAGATTGTACCACTGCACTCCAGCCTGGGTGACAGAGCAAGACTCCATCTCAAAAAATAAATAAGTAAAATAAAATGACTACTGGAGAGCTTAGTGCATTGTAATGATTTAAGATGCATTATACACATCTTTTTCAACCATCAGTGTGGCACTGCTAGCTAATGTTGATATGGTTTGGCTGTGTCCCCACCCAAATCTCATCTTGAACTGTAGCTCCTACAATTCCCACAGGTCATCACCGGGACCCAGTAGGAAGTAATTGAATCACGGGGTGGGTCTTTCCTATGCTGTTCTCTTGATAGCGAATAAGTCTCATGAGATCTGATGGTTTAATGAAGGGGAGTTCCCCTGCACACGCTGTCTTGCCTTCTACCATGTAAGACATGCCTTTGCTCCTCCTCCACCTTCCACCATGATTGTGAGGCCTCCCCAGCCATGTGGAACTGTGAGTGCATTAAACCCCTTTCCTTTACAAATTACCCAGTCTCGGATATATCTTCATTAGCAGTGTGAGAACAGACTAGTCCATGCAGGATCACAGCCCTGCCAGAGAAGTAGATACATCCTGTCTGCAAACTGATCTAAATGAGACAACTTAGCCTTCCACAGGTATAAGCACCTGCATTCTGAAGCCATACAATTAGGGCCTTCCCACAACAATTGAGAATTGCTATCTGACTTCAGATTAGCTGGAGGAACAAATCTTCAACAATTTGGGAGGGGAGAGAGAGGAGCATTATGAAACACCTATCAGGTATGCTCAGCCCAGGCCAAAGTCCCACATATTCTGTCTCCATCTAACTCATCTAAGCCAAATTATCACAGTCTGATTGGCTTACAAATACCTGCTGATGAGCTTTGCTATTCTCTTAAAAGCATTCAGCACAAGCCCAGGTTACCTGGTGCTTAAATATCTTCCTCTGAGAGTGTTCATTAATTTTGAAAAGTCTTTCTTAAGGTTTTGTTGGTACTTGGAAAAGATTGACCCATTGTAACAGACATGTCAGTCTGCAAATTGGGGCAGACTGTGTATGAGCCACATCACAGATTCAATAAGAACTTTAGGCCGGGCACAGTGGCTGACGCCTGTAATCCCAGCACTTTGGGAGGCCAATGCGGATGAATCCCTTGAGGTTAGGAGTTCAAGACCAGCCTGGCCAACATGATGAAACACTGTCTGTACTAAAAATACGAAAATTAGCCAGGCATGGTGGTGGGCATCTGTAATCCCAGATACTTGGGAGGCTGAGGCAGGAGAATCGCTTGAACCCGGGAGGCAGAGGTTGCAGTGAGCTGAGATTGTGCTACTGCACTCCAGCCTGGGCAACAGAGCAAGACTCCATCTCAAAAAATAAATAAAATAAAATAAAATGACTACTGGAGCGTTTAGTGCATTATAATGATTTAAGATATCAGATACTTCCCTACTGAGAATTACCCACTATCCTTGGTGGAAGATGGACATTAGGACAGTGACCTGGCTAATGCTGGTCATCAGTGACAGGTTTCTGGTCCCATGGTCCTCAAGGACCAGAAGGCCTGGGAACAGCAGAGTTGGAGGAGATGAGGGGGTGAGAAGAAGGGTAGCAAAATGCCAACCGTGATCCTGAGTTACTCTAGGATTCTGGAAACTGAGTGGGTGACAGACTGAACATCAAGAATGGAAGGGCATAAGGGATGATGAACGGTATCATGAGAGTTCATTCTGTGTCAACTAATCAAGGACAGAATCAAGGCGAGTCAAGCGCTAAATGATCCTAAAGTTTGTTCATTCATCCCTTCTTCTATTCATTAATTCAGTCAATGAGTAGTTATTATATGCCTACTCTTCCAAGCACTGAAGGTACACTCATGAACAAGGCAAGATTCTTGCCGTTAATGGAGTTTTTTTTTTTTACCTGAAAAAGGGGGCGTTTTTCAAGAAAAATCTTGAAAAGAAGAGTGGAAAGGAGGTCTGGTGTATCATAGAAGCTTCTGGGAAAAGGATGAAAGGCAGAGGCCCAAAGTTAAACTCAGGTTTCAAGCTTGCCAGGACAGCCCATGCACAAGCAAATAAAAAAAGCCTTGATCATCCCAGGATCATTGCTTTCTATTTTGCCTGGAGAGGAGGGAGGTCACCCCGTGTCACCTAGCACTGTGATGAGGAGGCCATACCATAAACACTCTTCTTTTAAGGAAGTTTGAACAGTGAACTGTGCATCAGAGTTGGTGCTGAATCTTTCTTTTGTTGCTAAAAGCCACAGAAATGTACTTTTTAAATCTCTAGCACGATTTCCTGTAATCAACACACGCCTTTCCTTTCCAAGCTGCTGCAATGATCCAAGTAACAACCCAGGGGAAGCATGGCTTTCTTTTGTGCTTATTTATACCCCAACTACTTCTGAAAGGCCTTAAACCTCTCACAGATTAAAACCCAGCACAAGATAAGCCGTTGACCTAAGAGATCAAGAAATATAGTTCCTGCCGGGCGCGGTGGCTCAAGCCTGTAATCCCAGCACT